CAATGACGCTGTGTGTCTCCGCCATCAGTCAGCCAATGACATTGCACAATATCTTTGGTTTTTAGGACACAGATGGAGGGTCAGTAGCTGAGTGAACTGGCCAAATTGTTCCACAGACTGTGAGCAGCTTGGGTTCGGTTTGGTCTGATGGTCAAAGTGAACCTAAGCCACATCCTGTCAGAAAGGCCAAAAGGCAGATGCTCCCATGTAGCAATAAGAGGGCAAGCAGCCTGTGTGTCCGCAGATCCACCACTTTACCACTTGATTCCTGTCCCCCAGGGCAGTAGCCGGACCCCCATACACTTTTTATGGCCAATACTTGCATATAAGCACTCTTAAAAGGGAACAATCGTTTCCAAATGTTCGAGCCCCATTGACTTGCATTGAGTTCGAGTTCGTATTCAAGCTTTTCGGCCGCTCAAATACGAACCGACCTCCGGGGTGTCCTGCCCATCACTATTCTAAAACTGAAGTTGAATTGTGAATCCTCTGGTGTCTGATAAGCTTTGAGCTCATTTTAAAAGCTTTGTCAAAAATCAGAACATTGAAATGGCTTCTCTCCAGTGGGAACCGTCTGCTTAGTTGTAACTTCAATCTAAAAGCTTTGTTACATTCAGAACACTAATATGACTTCTCTCCACTGTGATTCCTCTGGTGTACAATAAGTTGTGTATTCCATGAAAAACATTTGTCACATTCAGAACACTGATATGGCTTCTCTCCAGTGTGAACCCTCTGGTGTCTCATAAGTTTTGTATTCCCTAAAAAACATTTGTCACATTCAGAACACTGATATGGCTTCTCTCCAGTGTGAACCCTCTGGTGTCTCATAAGTTTTGTATTCCCTAAAAAACATTTGTCACATTCAGAACACTGATATGGCTTCTCTCCAGTGTGAACCCTCTGGTGTCTCATAAGTTTTGTATTCCCTAAAAAACATTTGTCACATTCAGAACACTGATATGGCTTCTCTCCAGTGTGAACCCTCTGGTGTCTCATAAGTTTTGTATTCCCTAAAAAACATTTGTCACATTCAGAACACTGATATGGCTTCTCTCCAGTGTGAACCCTCTGGTGTCTCATAAGTTTTGTATTCCCTAAAAAACATTTGTCACATTCAGAACACTGATATGGCTTCTCTCCAGTGTGAACCCTCTGGTGTCTCATAAGTTTTGTATTCCCTAAAAAACATTTGTCACATTCAGAACACTGATATGGCTTCTCTCCAGTGTGAACCCTCTGGTGTCTCATAAGTTTTGTATTCCCTAAAAAACATTTGTCACATTCAGAACACTGATATGGCTTCTCTCCAGTGTGAATCCTCTGGTGTGTGATTAGTAATGTCTTCTCTCTAAAAGATTTGCCACATTCAGAACATGTATATGGCCTCTCTCCAGTGTGAATCCTCTGGTGTCCATTAAGACATGTTTTTGTTTGAAAAGCTTTGCCACATTCAGAACATTCATATGGCCTCTCTCCAGTGTGAATCCACTGGTGTGTGATTAGTTGTGTCTTCTCTCTAAAAGCTTTGCCACATTCAGAACATTCATATGGCTTCTCTCCAGTGTGAATCCTCTGGTGTACATCAAGATTTGCTTTTGTTGTGAAAGCTTTGTCACATTCAGAACACTGATATGGCCTCTCTCCAGTGTGAACCTTCTGGTGTCTATTAAGCTGTGCTTTTGTTGTGAAAGCTTTGTCACATTCAGAACACTGATATGGCCTCTCTCCAGTGTGAACCTTCTGGTGTCTATTAAGCTGTGCTTTTGTTGTGAAAGCTTTGTCACATTCAGAACACTGATATGACTTCTCTCCAGTGTGAACCCTCTGGTGTCTCATAAGTTTTGTATTCCCTAAAAAACATTTGTCACATTGAGAACACTGATATGGCTTCTCTCCAGTGTGAATCCACTGGTGTGTGATTAGTACTATCTTCTCTCTAAAAGATTTGCCACATTCAGAACATTTATATGGCCTCTCTCCAGTGTGAATCCTCTGGTGTACATTAAGATGTGCTTTTGTTGTGAAAGCATTGTCACATTCAGAACACTGATACGGCCTCTCTCCAGTGTGAACCTTCTGGTGTCTATTAAGCTGTGCTTTTGTTGTGAAAGCTTTATCACATTCAGAACACTGATATGGCCTCTCTCCAGTGTGAATCCTCTCGTGTGAAATAAGATGTGACTTCCATATAAAAGCTTTCCCGCATTCAGAACACTGATATGGCTTCTCTACATTCTGAACCTTCTGATGTCTGATGAGCTTTGCCTCCATTGTAAAACTTTCGTCAGATTCCAAACAAGAATTGGCCTCTGAAATGACTTCTCTTGTGTTCAGGTGTTTGACGTCACTGTAAAGCCACTGCGACTTCTAGAACACTGAAATTACTTCTCTTGTCCTCTGATGTTGGATCTTCATCAAGTCCAACCTATATAGAAGAAGAAAAGCCTAAACAGAACACAATGCCCACAATTAACCAATGTTGATCCAGAGGAAGGCAAAAAAAAAAAAACCTATAAAGCATAGGGTTCAATTTGCTCCAACAGGGGGGAAAAATTCCTTCCGGATCACATAAGGCAATCGGATATTCCCTGGATCAACAATCTCTGATGCTTAATATACCTCTAAGAACTCAATATCCAGTAATATTCTGTGCATTTAGGAATATATCCAGATGTTTTTTAAAACAATTAACTGAGCTAGCTAGAACTAGCTCCTGGGGGAGTCTATTCCACATGTCACAGCTCTAACTGTGAAGAATCCTTTCCGTATGCAAAGGTTAAACCTCTTTTCCTCCAGACGCAAAGAGTGCCCCCTTGTCCTTTGCAGGGACCTTAACGTGAATAATTTGGCACCAAGCTCTTCGTATGGGCCATTTATGTATTTATACCCGGTGATCATGTGTCCCCTTATACCTGGCGATCATGTCCCACCCTTATACATGGTGATCATGTCCCCCCTTCATCGCCTCTTCTCCAGAGAGAACAAATTCAGGTCAGCTAATCGTTCCTCATAGCTGAGCTCCTCCATGGCCTCTTATGAGTTTGGTCGTCCTTCGCTGCACTTTCTCCAGTTCCACAACATCCTTTTTGTAAACTGGAGCCCAAAACTGAACTGCATATTCCAGATGAGGTCTTACTAATGCTTTGTACAGGGGCAGATGATGTCCCTGTCTCTGGAGTCCGGAGACCCCGTATAATACAAGAAAGTATTTTGCTTGCTTTAGAAACTGCAGCTTGACATTGCGTGCTGTTATTGAGTCTATGATCTACCAGAACACCCCGATCTTTCTCCACCATTGACTCCCCCAAACATACTCCCCCTAGAGTATAGGACACATGCAGGTTTTTAGTCCCCAAGTGCAGAACTTTACATTTATCAACATTAAACCTCATTTGCCAAATAGTTGCCAATCACACAGAGCATTCAGATCTGCCTGTAAGTTGGAGACACCCTGTAGGGACTGAATTCCACTACATAACTTGTGTCATCTGCAAACACAGAAATAATACTTTTATCCCCAATTCTATGTCATTTATAAATATGTTAAACAGTAAAGGGCCCAACACTGAACCTTGGGGGACAC